ACGATTCTTGTTTGGGCGGACAACGTGAAAAAACGGACGACCTTTATATACCGCGTTATAAAACAAAACACACGCATCGAATCGAACGCGTAATTTGTCGGTTATAAATACGGGTGTTTTGAGCGTGATATATATTCGTAGCGTGTGAAATCAGTGCGACGGATATCAGTGAAAATCCAGAAAGAGAAAAGCATCGATTGTCCTTTGTGTGATCGTCGTTACTCGGCTTTTTGTTCCTCGGGACGCCACCGCGACGTGTCGTGCTTGGGGCTCGAACGAGTGAGAGTCTCATCATAAGCTTCGAGGTCCAATTGCAAACATCATCGTGTTATACCTGCGCGTCCCTCTCACAAAGTGCGGCTCATCGAAGGTCTCGCTGTCTCAGCGGTTGAGAGACGTGGAATGATATTTCGTCGAAATTGAAGGTGCAGCCAAGCTCGGTAGGCAACGACGTGACACGCGAACCAAATATTTGATACGTTAGGTAAGAAGTATGCTGCATATCGTCAAAGTTGAAAAAAAAATCGATTTAACGGAATATTCGCATAGTGTAACAGTTTCGCGCGTTATTTGTCCGATTTTTTATAAAGTGCAAGAGTAATCAGTTCGTTGAATCCTTGAAATTTGAGGTTGTGACACAGTTGTGCTTCGGTGACTAAAGAAATCGATAGATCGTAAATCGATAGGTGAGACACGACCGAAGTAATACAGTCGCTGGTGTTGATTCTTTATGCGACGTTTATATGTGTGTTCATTTATTCCATATACGATAGAAAAAGTGCAAGCAAGATAAAAGATTAGATGCAATATACGACACATGAGGAGCAAATTCATTTAGGTAAGACAGAATAATACATTTCGAGAGATGTCGATCGTAATGGTACATTTTCTTTCGTTTTTTTTATACAATCTGATGCTTCCCCTGTATATATAATTTAACGCATCCGTCTCGTTTCAAATTCTATTGTTCATTTGAACGACGATTAATACGAACATTTTAAGCGATCAAGAAAAATTAATATGACGACGCGCGTATTGCGTGACAAACGTGTCATCTTTCGACACGTTCGAAATTCGTAATAATTTTATTTCATGCATCGTAATATTTTTTTTGAAACATTATTACTATATAATTGAAATAAATTAAAAGAAAAAAAATCCATATATATATATATATATATATATCTATATATGAAAGATTACATGAAAATCGTTTTTGGGATATTTAGAATCATGAAAATGGAACAATGCTTAAAGAAGCATGGTGACGCAATTTTCGTGCAGGTGCAATTACACGGCAATCGCGCGAGGCACGTCAGCAAAATCGAGAGCCGTCTTAACGGGTCTTCTTTAGTTTCGCGGAGCGCAAACGCCGTTTTACCGTTAACGACCTAAATCGACGCCGAAGAACGAGATGCGCGCTCTTTTGCGAGTTCTTCGTGAGAACACTTCTTACGTTGAGTGCGGCTAAAGTGGTGGAGACCGAGGATGCGCACCGACTTCGTGCTTGGCAGAAGTCTTTTCGACCGTTTAATTTGATGACTTCAGAATCGCTTTAAAAGAGTAACTGATATTCTTGCTTCCAATCTATCATTCAGTGCGCGCTCGCATTGGATACGTTTCGCGTCCCAACATCGACGCCAATGTTAGCTGCAGCATGTTTTTAAATTTCGATCACATATTGCACAAAAATTAGCATAATTAAATGTTTTATCATTAATTTATTGTTGTTTCATAATAATAAACAAAGAATTAATGAATAAAAATTTTAAAATGCTCGTAAAATTATCCAAGTTTCAAATAAAATTTGATGTAATCGAATATCAAAGAAATTGTATCTTTATCGATGATAGATATGTAATTGTGCAAGGAATGGTAGTGGGGAGGATCGGTCAAACGATAACATAACGAAAGAACGTCTTTTATTCGATCGTACAAACTACTGATTTTCTAGTAAAATTCAGAAGCATAATTTCGAGTTTTTGATGCAACTTATATACTCGGTGACAAATAAATCATTCGAGAAACAGTTATATTCTATCGAGGTTCCCGCAACACGTTCACGTAGCGCGTGATGTTTTATTTCCGCGTTTCATTTCACCGATTCGTATCTTTTCGAATGTAATAATTTTCACATATATTCTTCTGAATATGATCTTTGAAATAAAAAAAAGAACAGTTTTCTTCCACAAAAACACATCGATATATTTTTAACTCGATTCAAGAACGAAAGAAATTCTGATTAGTTGTATATATTTACTTAATGAATTTCGAATGTTGGCAAGAATGGACAGATTTCATAGTCACCAAATTCGAAAGTATCTTCAGATTGTAGTTGAAATGTTCTAGATTGTCCTTTCACAATGTCACGTCTGATTGGCACGTTCTACTTATTTTGTTCAATTTGTCTTTAGTTTGTTCTGAAATTTCGTATACAATGTTAGGAAAAAAGAATTTATCATTTGATTTTTGTACAATTTTTTTTTTCAAATTATACTTAATGATTCTATAAATATTTATTTGATAAAAAAAAAGATATGCAATTCGATAATTTTATAAAAAAAATCGATTTACTTAATCAAAGGATTAAATGAACATCATAAAGTTTCGATCATAAAATTTTAGTATTTCACGTCCGAATGATAAACGTCATCGGTGTGAGATAAAGAGCGTGAAAGAGACAAAGAGGGCGTATCTTTCATAGAAGGATCGATCGTCTTATGAAATCGAAACGTGACTTATCGCGGAAGACGTTGCCGAGCTATAGTGTCGTGCCAGACGAAACGTTGCTTCACCTCGATGGTTTCAACCTGTCCAAGAACGATAATTGTTACAAACGGACAATTGGTACAAATACGACGTAATGCAGGATTCAGCAAATTAAACGACGCGTTCACCCTTCCAGCTGATGAATCTCGTGACTAACCGGCGTAATCCGTGGAGCGCAATTAGCATACATGAATAAAGAATCTATGAATCCTTTAAGTCAACTGGCAAATACTAGCTGAATGAATAGGTGTTCATAACTTACTCGTAATGCGATGAATAGGCTACAGGCTTATTATAGTAATTAAATGAATTTATGAAATAAATCATTTTCATTATGAAATCAATCATTTTTACATGATGTTTTTTTTAATTTGATTTATTAATTAATTTGAATTGTTTGATAAATAGAATAGATGCGATAAAATAATTTGAAATATTCGAAATATAATTTTCTGATTTTATCTATTGTGCGATATGAATCTATAAATATGTATAAAAAAAATTATAAAAAACTAAAATCTCAAAATAATTTTCCCTATTATTATTTTTTCTTTCTTGTTAATTGTAATTAATTTTTACTGTATTTTAAAAAATTGTTTAATATTGCGACTATCTGAGTTTAATTGCGCGTTTTATGATATTCAAATTCAATTTACAAATTACGTATTAACGAATATGAGTTTGATCGAAATTTCCTCGAATTATATCTAAATGCAAATTCAATCTTGTAAAATCAATTCCCTCTTACGGCAAAGCATAACAAAAGTAGAACCTTTATTTCGAATATTTTTAACATCTAAGTATATTCAATCATTGGAATTCTATCGATGAGAAAAAAATGGAAGGAAACAAAAAGACAAAAGCAGGGAGATATGGTATCTTATATTGCTGTTGGAACTCGAGACGCGCAGGTAGCAAGCATAATTTTCTATCTACCTACGACGCCCCATAAATTGATCGAGGTTACGTCGAGCGTATTTTGTTATAGTGGAAAGGACTCGTATACGCCTCGAACGATTCTCAGCCGCTTATTACCGGGCTTCGTTCGTTCGTGCTCGGTCACGCAACGCGCCACTCGGCATCGTGGGATTTGCTGGTTGTCGAATGAACTCGTTTACGAACTCGGGAAGACTGTGCTCGTGTCGTTCGCGACTGTGTCCATCGTTTTCGACGAAAATCGATCGTCCTCGTCTCCGTTATCGTTGTCGACGTCGTCTCCGTCGCCCCGTTGAAAAACGTTCAACGTTCGCGCGTTGTTCGAAACGTTACGTGCCCATTCGACCTTTCCCCGAGCCTCTTTTGCAGCCTTCGTTCCAGGGGCAAAAAGGGTCCCTCTCTGTTCGTCTCTCTGTCTCTTACCACGCCACGGTTTCGTCCTGACTCTTTATCCCTCTTTTTCTCCACGTGTCTCTCTTTCTTTCTATCTGCCGGCTCACCCTCTCTCCGTTCCTTTCTCCATGCTGCTCGTTCTTTCCCTGTCTTTGTTTGTCTCTCTCTCTCTCTCTCTCTCTCTCTCTCTCTCTT